GAGGAAACTGAGGCCAGGAGTTAGAAAGTGACTTACAGAGTCATGCAAATCGTGCATGACTAAGTTGGAGGGAAAAATTCAGGTTTTCTGATTTCTTTCAGTCCAGTGCACTTTGCTCTGTGTTGCAGAAACTACAGAGTAAGGTGTGAGATAGAGGAGAAGAGAGAGAGAGACAGAGATAAAAAGAAACAAAGATACACACCAAGAAAAATATAGAGAGGAACACAGACAGACAGATAGATACACACACAGAAAGAGAGAGAGATTGAGACTGAGAAAGCCAGAAAGTCAGAAAAGACATGGAAAGATAGATGGGGAGAGTGAAAGAAGAGTGAGAGAGAGACAGTATACAGATTCACACAGAGAGAAAGATGAAGAGAGAGAGCAATCCACTGCAAGAGACAAGGAGTGAAAGAGACTGACAGAGAGACAGAGGAGGAAAGGCAGGCAGACAAACACACAGAGAGACAAACACAGAGAGAGAGGAATACACACAAAATGACAGAAATATGAGCCAGAGAGAGACAGACACAGAAAAGAGACATGAGGAGAGCAAGAGGCAGAGTGGGAGGGAGGCAGATAGTGGGCCCTGCAGATTTTAGTCCCTTGGAAGCAAATCTTGCTTCCAGATCATTCTGGGGCCCACAACAGGTTGTGGGGAGAGAAAGAGAGCTCAATGCTTAGCTTATTTGATACAGGCAGATTGGGAGAGGCTCGGGGCAGAGTGGGAACCACCCTCCCTTGGGGTTAGGCTGGTCAGTGACCACCCAGGATCCCAGCAGCACGCCCACTGGCCTCACACAGAACCTGGGCCACCCGCCCAGGATGGCCGTCAGCCCGCCCACCGCCTGGCTCCAGTCTGATTACAACCAAAGTGCTAAAAGGCTCCAGACCCATGCCCCGCCCCCGTGGTCCCGCCTCCTCTCCTCCCTCCCTTTCTCCCTTAGCTCCCTCTTTCCCGTTCTTCTGGTCCCCTTGGGGAGCAGTCTACCCCCCTGTTTGGCCACTGACTGGGAGGAAGGGGGTCCCTGTCTATAGCCCTGCCCCGCCAAGCCCGCTTCCCTGATTTGGGGCTGGATGCTCCTTCCTTCCAAAGCCCTCTTGGCCTGGACTCTTTGAGACACGTTCCATGCCTCACCCGGGAGCTCATAAATACCAAGGAGAGGCCGGTCAGGCTGTGTACAAAGCATAGATCCCCACCATACCCCCCCTTAAGAGCCCCTGGGTTCTTCCCAAACTCCCTTCTCCTCCCTAGACACCTGCATGGGGTGGCTGGAGAGGGAGGGGGGCACAAGGGGCCTGTGTGAACCTGGCCCCACTTCAAATGAGACTTGCCTTGGTTTGCAAAGAAATCTCAGGAAAGGCGTTTCAGGGCCCCTTGTGCAAGCAGCAGGCTCAGGAATTCCTTGACTCCCATCCAAACCTCCCCCCAGCCCCTTCTCGGCCTTTCTCTCTGCTCGTTACCATCCACACCACCTCCCACCCACCGGGAAAGAGAGAAGGTCATCGCCAAAGGGGCCCAGGGAAGGGGGGAGCCTCCTAGGGGGTAGACCCGGGTGCAGTAAGAGCTGTTCACCCACACCCGAGCTCCCCTTAGCTCATCTCCATTCCCATGCAAGGGCCAGTAAAAGTTTTAAATCATTCAGCCACACACAGCTGAGAGCAGAGTGAAAGAAAATGAATCTTAACTCTAAGTGGCCCCAGAGGGGAGCAGAGCATGAGGTGAGATATCAAGGGTGAGAGGGGACCCTTCTCCTCTGGGCATCCACTTTGGGGAAGGCAGGAGGCTGTGGTGCCACCCTGAGGAAGAAGGACGACCTGGCTCTGCTGGCTGGGTAGAAGCTATCCTGCTGGAGGCCCCAGGGAATCTAGAGGCCTTGGGGGGAGAGGGGGTCTGGGATTCTTTCTTAGGTCTCTGCAGACGCTGCTCACTACATCTGCAGCGTGCAGCCTTGAACAGCAGAGCCTACCTCTCAGTCAGCTTTATTGTATTTGCATGAAAACTCCCTGGGAGTAAGACCCTTTCACTCCTTCTATGTCATTTAGGTTGCTCTGGCGAGTGCTGGGCACACAGCAGGTGCTCAATAAGTGCCGAGTTGACTCCATGCAGGGCCCTCCAGACCAGAACTTGGCTCCCAAATCAGTGATTCCTCCCCTGGCTCACAGTACGTGGAGTGGGGGGTAGGGCATGGGAAGAAGGAGCAGGTCAGGGCTAGCCTGAGTCTCTGGCCTTGACCCTGTGCCTGGAAGCCCCACAACAGGCCCTTGCGTGAGGAGCTGAGCTCTCCAGTAGCGTCTCGGACCTTGAGACTGCAAGTTTATTTTGAGATTTGAAGCTCCAAAGTGGCAGATCCCAGAAAGCCTCTTCTCTGGCTCCGTATTTGTCCTCTAGTTAAGTGGCTGAGTGCAGCTCTTGCAGTCAGCTGGCTCCTGCAGCCTGGGGTTCCTCCTGGGGAGCTAGGGGCTCAGAAGACAGAGGAAGAAGAGGAAGGAGCAAAGCCCCATCCTGGGTTGTCCACTCTAGGCCAGAGGTAGCCTCTAGGCATTGGGGAGAAGTCTTGTCCCCTTATCCGCTTCCCTCCCTCTTGGAGCTGCTGATGTTTCTGGGGGCCCCCTCAGCTCAGCAACATGCTTTCATAGTTGAACATCTATGTTGTGCCAAGACACGGTCCCACTTGACTATGAAGACAGCTGAAGCCAAAGAAGGGGCCTCATAAGTGAGTTTGGGGCCCATGTGGGCGAGTCCACCCAAGGTTAGGGCTGATGTGATCATCTTCAGCTCCCCACCCCACAACCTCAAGCCCATATGTAGAAATAAACACAGGGCCAGAGTCACACCCAGGCCTAAGCACACGGGGGAGTCTGGGAGAGACTGCCAGAGCTTGCAGACCGCTGCCCAGCATCAGGGTGGAGCTGGGCTGGGAGGAGGTAGAAGAGTGGTCCAAGGAAAGGGGCCTTGCCAGGAATGAGCCTGGGCCCACTCCTCTCTCACCTGCCCCTCTCAGGGAAGCTCAGCATGGAGTCCGCTGCTTTTTAAGAAAATAGAAAGGAAGACTGGAGCCTCCTGGATTGAAAGAAGGGAAGGGGAAGGATCAGCTTGTTGGCAGAGAGGGATATGGCCAGTGTGCTGGCCCTGCTTGATCTCTGTATTCAGCCCTCTCCCACTCCCATCCAACTCCAGTCCATCCCCCACTTTCCACCTCCCCCGAAGGGTGAGCACCTTCTCCCCTGCATGACCAGGACCATCCCCTTTACCTATTTGAACTCCTCTCCTCCTCCCTAGCTCACTGCTCCAGCTCGCTGGCCCCCTTGTTGGCTTCTGCACACCAGCCCACTCCCACCTTAGGGTCTCTGTCCTGGGTGTTCCCTCTGCTTGGGATGCTTTTCACCAAGAATCTGCCTGGCTTGTTTCCTTGCCTCCTTCAAGTCTTTACTTGAATGTCACCTTAATGAGGCCAACCCTGATCATTCTAGTTACAACTCTATTTTTTCCCACTGTACATATCACTTTCTAACTTATTACATGTTTTACTTATGATGTTTACTGTTTATTGTTTGTCTTCTCCCAATAGAAGATAAACTCCATGAGGGCAGAAATTGTTTTGTTTTGCTTTGTTCACTGATGTGTCTTCAGTGGCTAGCACAGTCTGGCACATGGTAGGGAATAAATAGATATTCATCGAATGAATGAATGCATTCTGCCCTGTGCCACAGAAAGTGAGATAAAGAGGTGGGAGGTGGGGAGAGGGTATAAAGGTCCCTCTGAGCCCTTCTCCTCCACCTCTGCCTCTGGGACTTCTGCAGCCTCTCAGCAGCCAGCTGTGCCCTGTCCGATCACACTCGGGCGTCTCTAACACCACCCCCACCTCTCTCCACCTTCTCGGCCCCCAAACAAGAACTGGCAATGAGTTAGGGGTTGAGGGGGGTGGGCAGTTTCCAGCGCGTTTACACCAGGGCTTTATAGTTTAGATAAATCACAAGGAGAGGCACGAAAGACACCTGAGAACGAGGGGCTAGACGGGAGAAACTGAGGCTGGAGAAGGGGTTGGGGCTAGACCCCAGACGAACTCTCGAAAGTAGAAGAACCAGGGTTTGAAAACGAGTTTTTACGGCTCAGTACAAGGCCACTCTGCCCCAAGAGGCTCTACCTGCCAACCTGGGAGGTGTCGGGGGAAAGGAGGGGAGTCACTTTCAGCAGTCAGCACCTCCCTACCCCTTTGCGATTTACTTCTCCCCCAGGCGGTGGGTGGGGGTGGGGTGGATGGGGGAGGAGGTGAGGGAACTGTGGGGAGCAGGAAGGGTGGAAAGGCGAAGGAGAGAAATGGCTCTGGGGCTTCCATTCTCTCAGCAGGACCCCCACCCTGGCCTCTGGTTCGGGAAAGCCGCCCAGCTGTTTCTGATTCTCTCATACTCGCAGCCCCGCCCGAGGGGGTGGAGGACCGAGGCACCAGGGAAGCCAGGAGAGACTAAGTTCTGCCGAGCCCGGGCGGTAAAGGGCGGGGAGTCCGCCTCCGGTCCGCAGGTGTGCCCCTCCGCTTCGGCCATCGATTGCGGATTGGATGCTTGCAGGAGGAAAGCATCGGGGCCGGGAAGGTCGGCCGGAGCCAGGTCTAAACGTTGGGGTGGGGGTGCAATGGGCAGTGGGTCGGAGGAACCAAGGGCAACGGGCCCTTGATGAGAGAAGCCCCTGCCTGAAGCCGGCTGCCCATGGCGCCCCCGTGGGCAGCGCTGAAAAGGAAGTTAAGATTCTCCCGCAACTTCCCCTAGCAGAGATTCTACCCCTTTCACAGAAGCGCAAGAAAGGAGAGAGGACCTGAGGAAATGAGTGCGTCCTCTGCGGATTTGCTCCAGTGTCACTGTAGGTGAGGACAGGGGGAAGCGTCTGCAGCCCCCCCGCCCTGCACGCTCCTGGCCATCACCACGGAAGTTGGGTTTTGAATGAAGGGCGCTAGGACCCGGTGGCGCGGCGTCGGCAGGGACTGGGCGCTCGGGGCGCTGAAGGGCGCCGCGGCGCCCCGTCGCGAAGCGCTCGAGCAGGTGGGGGCGCAGCGCGGGGCTGCGCCGGAGCGCAGAGGGGCGGAGGCGGCCGCCACACCTAGGGCGCCCCGGAGCGCCCGGGGCTGGCGCGGGCGGAGCCGCCCGGAGGGCCGCGCGTGTCCCCGGCCTCGGCCCCGCCCCGCGCCGTCCAATGAGAGCCCGCGGCCAGAGGGGCTGTCCGCACACTCTGCCCGCAGCCCCACTCCGCGCCGCCGACCCCCTGACACCGCACCCCGCACCCGGGCAGCGCGCCCCAGACCCCGAGCTCCGCGCGCCATCGTCGGCTTCCGGACGCCGCTCCCTGCGCCCCTCTCCGGGACCCTGCGCCCCGGCTCCTGGACTCCAGGTGCCCCTAGTTCCCCAGGCGCCGGCGAGCCCTATGGCCCCCCAAGGGGGTGAAGTAGGAGCAGCCTGAGTACCCGCAGCCGGTGCCCCGTCCACGCCCCCACCCCCCCGGGGCCGCGCGGCGGGAGTCTTCGGGGAGCTATGCTGAGGCCGAGTGGTGCGGAGGAAGCCGCGCAGCTCCCCCCTCGGCGCGTCCGCGCCCCTGTCCCCGCGCCGGCGCCCAGACCCGCGGCCCCCGACGGTTCGCCGGCTTCGCCCCGCCTGAGTCTTGCCTGTCTTCTGCTGTTGCTGCTGCTGACTCTGCCGGCCCGCGTAGACACATCCTGGTGGTGAGTGCGGTTCTCAGCGTTGGGAGGGTGAGGCGCTGGGTCAGAGAGGCCAGAAGCGCCCGGCACCGGCTGCTCAGCCGGTTGTCGCTTCGACGGAGTTAGGCGATCCGGGCAGGACTGTCACTGAAGATACAGAGTGGCGGGGGTAGGGGAGAGGCGGGTATGGGGCGCAGCGCCTTCCCCGCCCGGTGAGGTGGGCGCTGGGTATTTGGAGCAAGGACACCCGGTGGTCGAAGATTCCCAGACCCTCATATGCTGTGCTCAATCCTCTTAGGGCAAAAGCTACCTTCTGAGTTTCTCTCAGGGTGGAGTTAGGGAACCAGTCACCCATATGGGGCCTTCGGTGGCCGTCCCTTAGGACCCCCTGATCGCCTAAGATGTGGAGAAAGGGGCCGCTGGCACGGGCAGCTGAGGCTCCTGCGAGTCTACCCTACCCGGTAACGAAGTAAGCCTTTGGTGAGGCAGCAGCACCCAGCTCGAGGTTTAGAACTGGAACCCAGGCAGAAACTACCCCATTAACTCCCACAATTAAAACAAACAAAACACTTGGGTTTGCATGATTTAGGCATTTGTCTTCAGCCTCTGCTTTGAAGATGTTACTTCGAACCTTGCTATCTCCCTCCCCTCTTCCTTTTCTTCCCCAGATGACCCCATCTCCAAGAACTAGAGGCTTCTGGAGTCCCAAAGTCTTAGGAGACCCTCTCCTCAGATTTCTTGCAGGCCTTAGACTCCAGACGCTTCATAAGAGGGCAGATGATGCAAAAGGCATTAAAAATCCACTGGGTATCTTCTTTTCTGAATTCTCCCTTCCTTCAAGCCCTGGATGGCACTCATCTTTTTCTCTCGGGAGAAAGAGCTGCTTTCCCCCACCCCCACCGTCTCGGGGGCAGAGCACCCAGAGAGTTGGACTGAGAAAAGACTCAGTCTTCTCATCTTTCTTTCACCCCTCAATCAAACTGGCCTCTTGGACTGGGCTATTGCCCCTCTCTGTTCAAGCAGTGCCCCCCTTCCTTTCCTTACTCTGCCCCTCCCCCTCTCTATCCCCCACCAAATGTGCTCTCTTCTCCCCTCGCACCCTGTGGCTTTTCTTCTCTTCACTTGGAATCTTGGCTGGAAGGGTGAGGGGTAGCCGGCTGAGGGGCCAGCAAGCTTGGGCTGCAGATTCCTATCATTTCAAGATGCGTTTCTCTCCATATCCCCCCCCCCCCATTTTTCCTGTTTCAGAAAAATCTCTCTTTTGGATCTTTTTTATCTCTGCAGTGTTGGGGAAGGCAAAGAGGGGGGTTCTGGATGGGGAAGCAGGGAGGCCCATATCTTACATCTGGCTTGAAACATTCCTTTAGAAAGGGAAAGGGAAGAAGGGGGACAAGGAGCAAAGCCTTTCAAAGTTCAGAGTGAGATCAAAGCCACCCTTTACCTACAAGGGCTCAGTTTGGCTAGGGACTTGTATCTTCAGTGGCCCTGTAGAGAGAAGATGAAGTGACCACTGCACATTCTTATCCATCCCTGATGGCAGTTTGCTTTTAGGGGCTCTTGATTGCTTCTTACCAGTTCAGGAGGCAGTCTTGGGGACCACTTGGTGTTTAGGTGAGGAAGTGTCACTCTGGTAATTTCAGCATCCTGGTAGACCCAACTGGGGTTCTTCCTAGTCTCCATTTTGTCCCCTTGATTGCTCTTTCTCCCTTTTCCTTTCTCCCTCTACTACTCTCGCCCCACGTGGTTCATATTAAAGATTTTGGAAAAACTCCTGAGTGGAAGATCTAGTGAGGGAGGCAGGCGGGTGATACAGAGGGATTCAGCAGTCCCTGTGAAATGGAGGAAGGCAGCAAAAGGACCAGGATGGGGAGTGAATGCAGAGGTGATCTCAGTCTCCTTGCCTCACACCTGTCATAGCTGCAGCCCCTAGATGCCTGCCTCAGTGGTCATCACTTCTGGGATAAAGTGGAAAGCTGCTTTCTAAATGCAGGTCAGGCTCCCAAGGTGATTCTCTCTCTTTCCCTTAGGAAAAAACCCACCAAGATTGATATTCTGTACAACCCCTGGAAGAGATGCCTGTTGACTGTGTGTGTGTCTTTGTCCCACTCCGGAGCAGAAGGTCATCACTGTCACCAGCTAACAGTCTCATCTTCCTCACAGCCCTTCCCCTTACTGACAACCATGCCTTCCCTCTCCCTATCTTTAACTGGAAGGAAATGGATCCTTTCTTTGTAATCTATAATCAAGAGAACAACAAATAGGGGGCTCCTTGCATGTGCTTCCCTTTCCGTTTTGCATTCTGCAGGGGATTGGATGTAGGGAATCACAAAAGCAGGACTGTATGCATGGATTCACAAAGGGAGAGTGACAGAGTGGTAACATAACATTAGCATTATTGTTCCTAACCACAGCTGCCATTTAATGAGCCCTTACTAAGTTCCAGACGCTGTGGCTAGGCACCTTACGAGCATCATCTTCTTCAATCCCCAATAATCTAGTGAGTTGGATACTATTATTATCCCCATTTTACACATGAAGAAAGTGAGGGATAGGAGGGGAGTGGTAAGAAACTCAAGTTCACACCAATTTTGGAGCCAGATTGGTCTACTCCTGGCACTGTGTGGCTCTCTCGCCCTTGGAATGAAAATGAGCTTGGACTTTGGTGTCAGATGTCCTTGGTTCACCAGGTTGTCCTCCACCTAGTTCTGATCGACAGAGCTGGACGTTATCACTTAATCTCCTGGAACTTCAGTTTCTTCACCTGTAAAATGGAGATCTCTCACTTTCTCATAGGATTTTTGTGTAGAAAAATGTTTTGTGAACTGTAAAGTACCATATAAATGATGATGTATTGAGAGATGAAGGGAGGGTAATAGTTTTATCCTTGAGTTCAAAGCCCTTGATGGGCTGGGCTGAATCATGTACTAGGGGCTGTAAAAGAAAGGGGGGAAATAAAAAAAGGATCCCTGGCCTCATTAAAAAAAACAAACAAACATAAAACATCTACAAATAGGCTGGCAATATCAACAGAAATAAAGCTATAACTAAAATGAAGTTTATGGCTGGCTAGGGGGAGAAGGAAATTGGGGGTAGATCAGAGTGGTTAGGTGTTTATTCAACAAAAAGTTATTAAGTACCTACTATGTGCCAGACACTGTTCTAGGTACTGGGGATATTAAAGTGAAGAAAGCAGACAAAAAACCCATGCCTTCATGGAGCAGTGTGTCTGAATCACCTGGGGATGCTGGTAAAATGTAGATTCTGATTCAGTAGGCCTGGGAGGGGCTCTGAGGCTCTGCATTTCTAACAGGTCCCAAGGCACTGCCAATACTGCTGTTCTGGGGACCACACTTTGAATAGTAAGGGGCTAGAGTAGGGTATGAGTCACTTTGTCAAAGGAAGGGATATGAAACAGGCACAAGCAGGTGAAGAGAGCATTCTGGGGCAGGAAGCTGGGAAGGAAGTGAAAACTTCTGGAGGGGAAAACAGATCTAGAGAGCCAGGAGCATCTCATCCCTTCTACCAGCCCATGAGCTGGAGATGCTTTAAATATATTTGTGCCCCTCACAGCTGAGCTCCAGGCTTGGCACATGGCAGGCATTTTGCAGGCATGTGTTGAGTTGAGAGGGGGATGGGCTGGGCTCAGGCTCAGTTTTTTTGGAGGCCCCTAAACTGACTACAAGGGGCTGACCACTGATCAGCAGGCAAGCACCCTGCTCTGCAGAATCTTGACGCAGCTGTTTAGCGGGATAAGAGTGGTAGTAGAGAAACTTAATTATCATCCCATCTTAGAGACTGAACAGATGTTCCCACGCTCAGTGAGGATGTAATAAGAAGGACCAATGTGGGCCGCAGCAGAATGGATTTAAGTCAGACCACAGGAAGAACTTTTTGCCAGAGTTTGGCCTGCTCCACTCTAGACTGTCTCATGAGGGCTGGATTACTGGTCTCCCATTCCCATCCAACCCCCCTCTTCCCAAGCCCCAGTTAAAAAAACAAATACCCATTGCCTAAAGCAGTACTCGGGGCTGAACTGGGGAAGCAGAACGGTGGTGAGACAGGGACAAGCTCCAACTCCAACGGTCTTGATTCCCCAAACAAAGCACCACGGCAGTGGGTGTAACTCCAGGCTGTGCGTCAGGCAGCCCTTTCCGGCCTGGCCCAGCCCAGGGTGTTTATTTTGTTTGTTCCTGGAAGCTGTTGCTCTGATGGACAGTGCTGGGGACGCTGATTCCATGGGATTTGTTAGTGGCAGGCCAGCCCTCTCACCCCTCCCCTGGGACAGATGGGCCCCATCAGCCCTGCTGAGTTCCAGAAGACGCAAGCATCAGCCCTCCTTGTGTTTATTTGAGTTGGTGTCACCAGTGGTGATCTAGTCTGTGGGTGAGGGCCGAGTGTACAAATGCTGGGGGTATGGGGGGAGGGGTGGGGGGGCGTAGAGTCTGGGGCAGTCCAGCTTTTCCACTCTCTCCACTGGCCACCCTCCCTTCTCCTCACCCACTTCTAGACCTATTTTGGGGCCTTTCCAAAACCACAGGCTCATTCACAGCACAAATCAAATCTTTTCTGTCTGTAGCAGCAACTGCCCTCCTTGGCCCCCACCTGTTCAGAAAAAGGGAGAGAAGGTATCCTTTTGATGTATTAGGACAGGAGAATAGAGAATTCCTAGCAAATCAAGGAAGGTACTGGGTGTTGGAGAGAGAGAAAGGGAGTGAGAATTAGGGGAAGGAGTCAGATCTCATTTGGGGGCCTTGTGGGGAGAAAAGGTGGTGATGCACGCCTGTTTTCACTTTGAAATGTTCTTCCTGAGCTTGTGGTGGAGTCCAGGGCTAAGAGTGTTTGAATGAAGAGAAAATATTGTCTTGAGAAATTTGAGAATGACTCTAACAACCCACCTATCTTTTAGTAGGCCACTTCAATTGATCTTCTTATATTTGCTCGTATTGGGCAGCTTGGGAAGTGGAATATAGGGAGTGTCACCTGGTTGCTTTATCTTGGCCTTTGGCTACCTACTGCAAATAGCTTTCTGCCCATGCAGGTCCATAAAGGACATCATGCCCCATAGGTTGGGGAGGATGATTTTGAAAGACTCATTAGTTAAGAAAGCCTCCAGGGCCTGGAAATAAAGGGTATGGGGAGGAGAGTTTGGGGTGGGGTCTTCCTCCCCAGACCTCAGAACTGGGATTGAGGATTTTTAGCTACATGGGTCCAACTAGAGCTGTAAACATTACTCAAAATTGCCCACTATGTCTCTTCCCACTGGCCCCTCCCTGTCTCTATCCTTCTTCCCCCAAACCATGTCTTCATGGACCAGCCATGCAGGACATGCCTTTTATATGCGGTGTAAGAGTGTTGTCTCAGACTCTCATTTTGCTAGTTTATTTTTGTGTGAGGCTCTTAATGTTTATTAAATAAACAGGCAATGGGTTTGTGTGACAAGCCCACAGCTTCTGTGTACGTGACACATGCCTGGCCTGCGTTCTGGGAGTGTGTGTCACTTTGGCATTTGGCTGAGGAACTGGTGATGGTGGGAGACCATTCAATTACTCTCTCTGCAACTGCATAACTATTTCTCCAGAGCTTGTGGGGAACAGTTCTACCCATTGGCCTCAGGGAATGTGGGTTGGGGGAAAGAGAAGGAACCTCTCCAAGGTCTGAACGCCAAACCTTACCCCTCCTTATTCCCCTCCTGATGCAGAAAAGGGGACAGGAAGCTCTGACAGAGACATCTCCACCTTGCAGGTACATCGGGGCACTGGGGGCCCGAGTGATCTGTGACAATATCCCTGGTCTGGTGAGCCGGCAGCGGCAGCTGTGCCAGCGTTACCCAGACATCATGCGCTCAGTGGGCGAGGGGGCCCGAGAATGGATCCGAGAGTGTCAACACCAGTTCCGCCACCACCGCTGGAACTGCACCACGCTGGACCGGGACCACACTGTCTTTGGCCGTGTCATGCTCAGAAGTAGGGGCGTCTTCCACCCTGCCCCAGCTCCTTCCCTTTCTATGCTTGGGGTGGTGAGTGGTAGGGTAGGCATGATCCCCTCTCCCTTCTCTACACACTACTTCATAATCAGAGAAACAGTTATGAGCAGAGCCCAGGGTACAGTTGGGAGCAGATCCTCAGTACTTTAGATATATAGGCAGGGGCCCCTCTAATCCTGGTGTTCTGGGATGATAGGACAGAGGAACAGAATTTCCTAGTACCTCCATCTTTCTTCCTCTTTCCCTTCCCTCCCCAACCCCCAGCCTGCAAGTTTCCATGCACTGTAAGTCTGAGAAATAGGAATGGCTGCTCTGTTCTTACCAACACCATCACTACCCTCACCCTCACACTCCCAACACTCCAGTAATGGGAGCAAGGGATAAACAGAAAGGTGATATGTAAATATTTGGAGAGTCAGCAGCTTGGCTCCAGCTCAGCAAAAAATCTAAGTAGAGCTAGATAGTAAACTAGGAGAAAGAGAATGAGATGGGAATCTGGAGGTGTCAGGGGAACAGGAGTGATGATTCATCAATCCCTGAGAGCAGAGAGGGAAGGAAGTGGGCAGGAGAAAGTAGCATGTCTCTTCAAACAGGCTGACCCCTGGGCTGGGGTCTCCACTGTAGGGGAACTGTCCAACAGAGTGGGCCTGAAAAGGCCTGGAATTTGGACTAAGGCAGGCTTAGCTGAGTCAGGGTTGGTGCTCAGTGGGAGGGGATGATTCACTGTGAAACTTTTCAATGGATGGACCCAGGGAGTTTGGAAGGAAGCAAGAGTACAGGTCAGCTCAAGAGGTCAGATGTACAAAGAAGTGGATAGAGAGTAGTGAGGGCTGAGGGGAAAGGTCAGATACTCTGGGGAATGCTCTTGGAAGAGAAGGGCATCTTCAAGAAAGAGGGAGCAGGGGTTGCTCTGGGAGAGAAGAGGAGAAGAGAGGAGGTTACAAGTCAGAGGTTGTGTGGGCTGAAGAAGGGAACAGACATGGGCCTTCCTGAAACACCCTTCCTCCTTTCTCTCTCTAGGTAGCCGGGAGGCAGCATTTGTATATGCCATCTCGTCAGCAGGGGTGGTCCACGCTATCACTCGAGCCTGTAGCCAGGGTGAACTAAGTGTGTGCAGCTGTGACCCCTACACCCGTGGCCGACACCACGACCAACGTGGGGACTTTGACTGGGGTGGCTGTAGTGACAACATCCACTATGGTGTTCGCTTTGCCAAGGCCTTCGTGGATGCCAAGGAGAAGAGGCTTAAGGATGCTCGGGCCCTCATGAACTTGCATAACAACCGCTGTGGTCGCACGGTTAGTACTCACATCTGTGTGTGTACATTCATATTTGCTGGGGGTGACCAGTATGTGTGATCATGAACCAAATGTGAAGGTGGAAGTGCTGAAGCCTTGTGGATCGCTTCCAAAAGTCCAAACCTCCTGGACAGGAGCAGTAAATGCAAGGGAGCTTGGGAATGCTTAGGTTCAGCCAGGTGCATAAAGAGTCTTCACATAGGTGGAAAGTAGGGAAAGGTGGAGAAAAGAGGGGAAATAACTTTTTAAGAAGGAAAAGAACCCCCTCCATCAAGACCGAGGAGCATAAGAATTTGTTCTAGTCAGTTCACTGGTATTTGAGCACCTCCTATGTGCCTAGTCTGTGCTTGAAAATGACGTGCTACAAAAGTAGAAGACATGGTACCTTAAACACTAAAACACACGAAAACTAGAGGATGTGCCAGCACGCTGTAGTCATGAACAGAATCCTGTGGCTCTAAAGTTCATGTGGGCTCCCATTGAAAAGGAAAGCCCTGTTGGTCCAGGAGGGTTTCCTGGAAGAAGAGGTTCTTGAATTTGATCAAGAAGAATGGGTGGGATCTGACTGAGGAGAGAACAACCAGTGGCTCCACTAGTCAGCCAGGGCCTAGTGCCTGGTCCAGCAGACTTCAGAGCACTCATGTTTTTAGTCCTAGGAAGGACTAAAAAGTGCCCTGACTGGCTGCCTTTCCCTTACCTGCCTCCCTATCTCTCAGGCTGTGCGGCGGTTTCTGAAGCTGGAGTGTAAGTGCCATGGCGTGAGTGGCTCCTGTACTCTGCGCACCTGCTGGCGTGCACTCTCAGACTTCCGCCGCACAGGTGATTACCTACGGCGGCGTTATGATGGGGCTGTGCAGGTGACAGCCACGCAGGATGGTGCCAACTTCACAGCAGCCCGCCAAGGCTATCGCCGTGCCACCAGGACTGACCTTGTCTACTTTGACAACTCCCCAGACTACTGTGTCTTGGACAAGGCTGCAGGTGAGTAAGGAAAGCAGGAAAGGTAGGGATATGGAGCCCCAGTTCTTAGTGCAGGCACCCCTGGTTAATCATGGTCTGTTCAGCCTCAGGATTTAGGGGAGGGGATGCCGTGGGAGGAGTTAGTCTCCTCCCGACATGAAAACCTTGTAATGAGATTGTTGATTTATGCCTCAATCCGCCAGGCCCAATACTGCACAAGCAGAGAGGAGAGGTCATCTATTCACTCCTGTATATCCCTAGCATCTGGGATCTGAGTAGGTACAACTCAGTGAATGTCTAAATGAATCACCCATCTTCAGTACCACACAATGTGTGGGCTACACAGAAGCATAAGATGCAGCCCCAAGTCTTTGGCACTTTACAATCTAAGAAAATGAGATGTAACAAGTAGACAATGCAACTGTAAAAGAGAGATGACTGGAGAAATCAAGGACAGTTTATTTGAAAATGTGGAATTTAAGCTGTTTCTTGAAGTGTGGGGATTATCTGGATAACTAGAGAGAAGAACAGGCAGATATTCTCTACACACAAACAGAGTGTTGATGGGAAAGCACATGATCTGTTCCAGGAACAGAGAACAGATTAATCTGACTGAGCGAAGGTTTTGAGTAAGGGAGATTAAAGGTAGAAAGGTTGGGAACAGACCATGAATGACTGAAAGGCTTTATCCAGCTGCTGCCATTGAAGATTCTAAAGTGGAGTTGGGGAAGCAAGGAAAGAGGAGATCCCTACCAAAGGCTAACCATTGGCAGAAAGCAGCAAATCGTTGTTTCTCGGTCTGTTCCAGATATTTGTGGTGGAATTCTTGGGGATGCTGGCAGGTCATATGGTATTCTCCCAAAAGAGTGGAAGTTACCAGCTTGGCTCATATTTCAGGTTTAGACAGGTTAAACTAGGAACAACGTGCAATGCAACAGAACTGCTCCTCTCCTGGTGACTGTTGTGGACTCCCAGGCTCTTCTCTGCAGACTCAGCAGTCAGGACTTGGTGAGGTGGAGCCAAAAAACCTCAGTTGTCTTCGGTACTGTTTGTTTTCATCCATCACTGTCATTCCTGGAGAGTCAGGTGGCTCAGAGCAAAACTGGGCACAGAAACAGGGTGGAGTTCCACTCAAGTAACAGAGAAAGTAGTTTGTGTACTTTGAAGGGTGCTAGGATAAAAAAGGTTAAGAGAGCCCTTCTGATCCTCCTAGTGATTTCCTGCCACTAGGTATGTTTTTTTCCCATGTGGTATAATTCAGAGGGCTACTCTCCAAATGCTTGGAAATAATTCCATTACATCCAAGATGTAAGCCTATGCTACCATACCTATGCACCTTTGGGGAAGGATCTTTGGAGTTAGGAGGGAGGATGAGTCACCTGTGTGTTGGTTTTTCTCAGAGGCATAAAATTAGGTCTCATAAAACCCAAAGTGGTATAAGTCGTCCCAGAAGGGAGTATGGAGCCAGGAATTTTCTCCAAAGCAGTACTGTCCAGTTGAACTTTGTGATGATAGAAATGTTCTACATCTGTGCTCTCCAGTACGGTAGCCACTTAGCCACATGGGATTACTGAGTATTTGAAATATACCTAGTGTGACCAAGGAACTAAGTTTTAAATTTTATTTAATTTTAATTAATTAAAGTCTAAATGACCACATGTGGCTAGTGGCTACCACATTGGACAGCTCAACTCCAGAGTGTGGAAGAGGCTTTTGGTGCACAAGAGAAGGACTTAAGACCCAGCATTTGGAGTTAGGAGAAGAACACATATAGAAGACCTAGTCAGCCCATACTCTTAGAGCAGTGGTCTCCTAATATTTTGCATTATATATTCCTATCATTAAAAAAAAATTGAGGGGCTGGCCCGGTGGTGTAGAGGTTAAGTTCATGCGTTCCACTTTGGCAGAACCCAGGGTTTGCAGTTTCAGATCCTAGGCGCAGACCTAGCACCGCTCATCAAACCACGCTGCAGCAGCATCCCAAATAAAACAGAGGAAGATTGGCACAGATGTTAGCTCAGAGCCAATCTTCCTCACACACACACACACACACAAAAACATTGAGCATGTACCTCCAATATATGTATATTTACTTATAAATTATATCTATGTTCCATTGTACTAATATGTACATTATACAACATACACACAAGATAGATATTTTAAATTGATGAGATATAAAAATATAGAAGTTCTAGCATTTTCTTCCCATGCCCCAGTGGAATATGAAGACTGCTGCTATAGAAATCAGTTAACCTATTCCCCTTCTTCAACCCCCAGGCTAGTCACTTTCCCATCTCTGGGAAAGGGTTGGAGTAGATACTCTCTTAGGATCCATCCCATCCAAAATGCTATGATTTTATGATCTGTTGGCAGAATCTCTTTTGCTAAAATCAGTCAGAATGAGGTCCTGAGCATTCTCTATGCAAGGGGAAAACATCATCCTCACCTCTCAGAGTCCCCACTGTAAAGGGTAAGGCATGGGGTATTTTTTAGGAATTCCCCAAGGGTATGCCTCCAGCCAGTCACGCTAATCAGTTGACCTCAGTTGAACAGAGATTACAGATATAACAATTCACTGAGCTAGATGCTATTATTATGCCTATTTTCATATGAGAAAACTAAAGCCCAGAGAGATTAACTAATTTGCTAAATCACACAGCTAAGAAGTGGCAAAACTGGGATTTAAACCTAGACAATCTGATGTCAGTCCATGCTTTTCATGGCCATGCTATACTACTACCCTGCACAGTACCACTTAATGAAATACAAACTAAGGACCAAAATACTAACAAATGGTAGCAGGATTAGAGTTGTGGCAAGACTTCTTAGAAAAGAGAAATTATAGGCTGTTTTTTTCCTTCAACTTTTTATTCTGGAAAATTTCAAACATAAATAGAGAGCCCTCACCCAGCTTTAACAATTATGAATATTTTAAGGCTAGGTTTTGAAGGGGATATGGAGATGTCTATCGGCAGGGCAGGCACTGCAGATGAAGTCCATGGTCTTTGGGGTGCTTTGAGGGTGGGGGAAAAAACAAGTCTGGTGCAGAGGACAGGGAGGAGATGATCATTTTGGCTAGTGGGTATATTTTCAGGAAAAGGGATTCTTTATGGTTTCCTTATGAGGATGTGGGTAAGGGAACCCAGAGCAGCTGAAGTAAGAGGTAACTTGGTTCTCACTCTCTCTTCCCCAACCCAGGTTCCCTAGGCACTGCAGGCCGTGTCTGCAGCAAGACATCCAAAGGGACAGATGGTTGTGAAATCATGTGTTGCGGCCGAGGGTACGACACAACTCGAGTTACCCGAGTCACCCAGTGTGAGTGCAAATTCCACTGGTGCTGTGCTGTGCGGTGCAAGGAGTGCAGAAACACTGTGGACGTCCATACTTGCAAGGCCCCCAAGAAGGCAGAGTGGCTGGACCAGACCTGAACATATAGATACCTCACTCATCCCTCCACTTCAAATCTCCTGACTCAAAAAAGCACAAGATCTTTGCATGCACACCTTCCTCCACCCTCAACCCTGGGCTGCTACAGCTTCTATTTAAGGACTTGGAGAGTGATCCAGAGGGACTCTCCTGTCCTGGCTGGTTCCTTAGCCCTGGGAAGGAGTTGACAGGGGATGTAAGAAACTGAGCAGCTCCCTGACTCCCCCCTCTGGAGGTTGGAAGGGAGAGTGAAAGAGGTAGGGGTCTTCAGAGTGATATGAGTTGCACTAAAGCACATGGTCAAGGCTCATTTTTCCTTTCCCTTGCACTGGCTTCCTGAGACTTGTGTGTGCAAGAGGAAGGGTACTTGGAGAGAGCTTCTTTCTGTTCCTGCTTGGTTGAGGGTAGATGGGACAGAGATGAAACCACATATCTCTTCCCTGGGTCAGTTTGAGCAGACTGCCTGGTACCCCAAAAGAAACTCTCAGGCTACGACATTCTTGCATTATCCAGAGCCTGGGATTGCTAGACCAGGGTTAGCTATAGTGGACAAAGTTCCATTCACATGTTCATATGTTTATAAACTGCTGTGTTTTGTAGGAGAAAAAATTATATAACTATATAAACATACATTCTCTTCCAGTCTCTCTCTCCTTTTCAATCTATATCAGACAGCACTGCCTTTTTTGTTCACTTGCTGCCTGTTCAAACTGAGTGGCATAGGCAGTGGTTCCCACGCCTAACAGATCATTAGAATATCCTGGTACACTCCTGAGAGAAAGTAATTTAGTAAGTCTGCCTAGGCCTTGGGATTCTATTTTTTTTTAATTTTCCACACATTCTGTTGGTCAGCCAGGTCTGGGAAACACTGAGGAAAAACTGTGCGACTCATGGAGGGTGGGAGAGGGTAGCAGGCCTGATCTCAAGGGCCCACATGAGGCCTCAGTGTATACCAGGCAGTTAGGGCTCTCTGGCTTTAGCAGTTTTTAGGAGCCTTTGAAGCCAGGAGCGGGAGCCAGGGGCTACAAAGGGAAGGAGAGCTGGGGCTTGGGGCCAAAGTGGTAAACAGTTTAGAATGCAGTCTTTCCTCATTTATTCAACACATCTTTATTTAGTGACTCTCTATGTTCAGGTGGTTATTATTGTTCACTCACATTTGGCTCAAATAGGGGAGTTCCTTCGATGCTACTCGCCACTGTCTAACTGAGCTTGCAGCAGTGGAGCCTCCAGAGATAGTGGCCTTTGTAAGCTAGAGAGTAGGTAGGACACAGAGTCCCCAAAACCATGATGTCCTACTTTTATGTGACTTGGACAGTGGTTATCTCTTGCCTGTTGATATATTAAAGGAGCAGAGTACTAGAAATTTGCAGCTCTGACAGACCTGGGTTAAAATCACAGCTGTGCCACTTAACAGTTTTTGATATTTTGAGCAAGATACCCAAATTCTCTGAGCCTTTATCTTCCCATCTGTAAAATGAGGGCATGAACCCAACTCAGATATTGAGTTTTAATTACGCCCCAAACTCTAGCCAACAGACACTGTTACCAAAGCCCCTAACTGGTCTGGGCCATCATGACTTCTCTTGGAACTTTCAATTCAGGACTATAAAGTATTAACAGCAGGCTGTAGATTAAGGGGCCGACACAAGGAATTCTGAATATAGCCCGCCCCCCTCCTTTCCCAAGTTCCTCTCCAACATCCCTTGAGGTCCTCACATGTTTGTGGGGCAGCTTCACTCTGCATAGGCAGCAGAAGCATGGGGGAGCCATAGCTCTGGGCCATGGGGGCAGATTTATTTGGATGATAGGACTAATATTTGTATAACCTGCTGAGACCTGTGTGGGAGAGTTTAGGGTGGTTTTTCTTTTGGTGAGGGGGTTTGCTCCAGTTTCACATCCATTAACACAAAACATGAGCTAGTCAGGGCCCTTGTGGTCTGTGGTGAGGGGATTCCTGTGGAGAAATGGGACTGAGTGAGTCAGGCCAAGGGAATGTCTTCCTTGCAGAGTGGAGTCAACTGGATAACTGATGAGCCAATGGTAGGATTAGGGAGGGGGAAATGGGAGGGGAAGAGAAGAGCTTCTGACAGCTTGAGCTGGATTAAGAGGAGGAAAGCTCTGGGGTAGTGGGAAGGTAAGGGGGTCAAAGTCAGTCAGTCTGAACTCAAGAATAGAGTTGAATGAATTTACAACAGGGTGCTGTCTTGTATGCTGGGCCACTGGGAAGAGTGTCAGGTCCCAGTTAGCCTCTGCTCTCACAAGAACATCCAAGTTACCACGTAAGTGATAGCATAGGCCTTCCATGGGAAATCAATCAGAGTTAAATCTACCTGTGCTGTTATCTATTCTTTTTTTGGTTCTTACCCTGTGGAAGGAAGTGGGCCTCTTGTGGCATGTCATACTTTTCCCTGGGCTCCAGATTCTAGTTCATAAAGACCCAAGTTTTGCAATTTCCTGTAAATGGTTAAGAGAAGAGCAAGCTGTCCAGAGAATGAGAGGTTTGAAAAGTGAGGTGGACGGCGAGAGAGAAAAGGTCCATGTAAGCCCCACTACAGAGACTATGTGGCCCCAAGAAGGAATGATGGCCAAGCAATTAATTTTTCCTCTTAGTCCTTAGCTTGCCTCTGCATTCCGATTGGCTTTAGACAACTGGCACCCATTCTGCACTATACAAACAGAAACTAATTTATTTGGAACAAGCAGCAAAGCAAGAACTTTATTTGGTGCAGTTAGGGCTTCATTTAGTTCTGCGGCTACTCATTGCCTCTAATCTCCCCCTCTCGCATCCCTCCTCTATTCAGTAGAGGTCTGTCCCTCAGATCAGCTGTCTCAGCCTCTCTCTCCTCTCTTCCACCCCTTCCTGTTGGTCTTCATTTTTTTTTAACTTTTAATATTTAGGTACAATGCCTGGCAGAAAGTGCCATTTGGATACAAAGTTAACTTAAAAGACATTATTTCTATCCCTTAAGGATCTTAGAGTCTTTTAGAGAGGGCACATGACTGAAGTACCTCGGCTGCACAGCCTGTAGCCAGTTTCTTTAATGTAAAAGTAAGAATACCAGCCTTAACCTAGGCCTGCAGTTAAGAGCCAACTTGTATTATCACTAGCTTTGAATAACAGCAGTAACCCATACTCTTCCTTAGAGTGATGCTGGAAAAATTAAATCAGAGACTTCAGATTATTTAAAAGAATCAAACATTGCCTGGCCTTGAAGGTCTGTTTGCAAAAAGTCTTGTACCACTCACTGCCTCATTTCTCTTCTTCCCTGTTGCAGAGAGAAATTTCTTCTCCTTTCTCTCATCTCTTTTAGCAAGAATATCAACCACTAAGTCCTTTGCCAAATTCTCAGACCCACTCAGGACATTGGTTTCTACAAGGCTTAATATAAGAGAGATAATCAAGATTTTTCTCCTCAGCTTTTCTGAGGTTTTATTTAAATGCCCTCAGTGGTCATAGGGCAGAAGCCCAAGGGAGGCCGCCATCGAGAGTATGTTTCTCATCCTTGAGAGGCAGTCAGTCTAGCTCCTGCAGCCAAATTACAGCACCAGAGAACAATGTGATGCATTCCTGGGCAGGTCGGTGGGACCCTGGGCGCCTGGGCCTTGTGGAGAGAGGTGCCAGACACAGAGCTCTCCGTAAGCAATCCTGCAGAGCCGCCCCCTGGGTGCAGAAATGAAATACGGGAGAGCTTCACATTACACAGAGACCTGTAGCTCACACCTGGTTATTGATGGCCTTCGTGGAGGCCTCTGCCCCCACCCTCCACTTGGGAACTGCCTCCTACTACGGGGGTTGGGCATCTTTGAAGCAATGTTAGAAAACAAGAAAGAGATGCTTCCTTTTCCCTCTTTGCCCTCCCTGTCAGCCTGCGCACAATCTTATGGATACTCACACACATGAGGTGCTCATATATGGACATACGTCTAGCTTCTCTCAGGCTGCATAAGAGTTCTAGTCATTCTCCCTCTCCCCAACAACAACAAAAAAACTAGATTTCAGTAAAATCCTTCAGAAATCATACCAACAACAGACTCAGTTATAACCAAGGAATATTAAAAAGTTACATTATCAACATGCAGGCAGCTGTTTGGTTTGGAGACTGATATTCCCCAGCAAGGTGGCAGGGGAAGGATGCAGAAAGGGCATGGAGAGAAGAGACAGTTACCACCCAGGCAAAGTGGCTGAGACCACAGAACTTCTGGCTGGTTCATGCTGGAGACAGTGTGATTTGTACCCTATGTGCTATGGATGATGGGGCATTTCCTACAACTGCATGACATATAATTACCAAGTCTGCTGCTCAGGACCTGTTGTTTTTAATTCATTAGGTTATAAAACAGGATAGCTTTGGGGTCTAGAGATGATCTCCACAAGAGAAAGCTTCTGGAGGGGAGCAAGCAGTGGCTTTACTGTAAATATTTCACAATTTTCGCATTGACCTGAACTTTCCCAGAAGCTGTTATTCTCTTTGAGTGATTGGCAGGTTTCAGGCAATAGCCAGTGAGGTGTCAGTAATATGCCTGTCCCTGACCCCCAAGGTCAAAGGGATAGAAGAAAGGGAGAGTTTTATAAGTGCATTTTTATACTTCCCATCCATGGCTTAAATGATCTCTGAGCATCTTTGTGGCTATTCCTCATTTACTTAGATGTTTTAGTCATCCTGGATTTGAGAAAACAAGGTAAGCATTCTCCCTTTGGCCCCCTAACTCTGAACTATCCTGGCTTAAAATCTGCGTGTGCTCACTTCCAATCTGCCTATGAGACTATGGATGGAGCAGCTGGACATGGGAGTTCTCTTTCTTTGACCAAAAGAAGCCAAAATCTGGTGACTTTACTTCAACACCACCAGCCCCTATAAGCAGGCCTGACCAAACAGAAAGGCTAAGCTGAGTGGCAAAAAAGGGAAGACAGTTTAATCCACGGCTGTCCATCCTATCTGACAACTTTCAAGGTGGGACTTCCCCAAGAATAACTGTGATGTTCATAAAAAGCTTTTTAATGTATATAATACTTTAGCACGTATGTAATTCTCACATCAACTCTGTGAGGTAGGAGTTATTCTCATTGTACAGGTGCCATTCAGAGAGGCTCAGTGATTTGTCCAGGGTCACATAGATACTGAGGGTCTCAGCCAGAACTCAAACTCAGGTTTCTGACTTTAAGTCCTGTGTGCTCTCCTCAAAGACTGAAGATGTCTAGGGCTGGAGGCACCAGAGTGCCAGCACCTTCAGAACAGAAATTGACACAAAATATTTTTGGAGAGTATATCTGAGCAGACAAAAGGAACAGCATAGGCCTTCCCTGACCTCATCAACGAATCTCCTTTTTGTCATTTCTGCCACTATTACTGCCACCACCAAATGATCACTATACTAAGTAGTCCACGTTTAATCAACTCTGGCTCCTAGTTCTTTCTGTTCCTTTTTCTTCTTCAGATTAACACTTAAAAATTTGTTTGAATTTTATCTAGTTCTTTTAAAGTGATGCTGAATATGCAGACAGTGTAGAAGTAGTCACGAGAAGTTATGAGAGGAAATTATTGAGGCTTTGGGCTTTTAGAACATGTATTAGAATCTCTTTTGAGACTTCACTCTTTTTAAAAACGCTGTCAACCCCTGAGCTAGGAAAGTAAGAACAGGGA